GAGGGTCAATTGTTCAAAATGAGGTCCTCTAATTCTTTAAGACCATCGGGAGTTTGCTAAAGACCCTTGCACATACAGACGTTCCACTTAAGCACACACCGATTCCGGAAGACCTGTTGTGGAACGGTTTGCCATCCCTGCTATATGTTCATTTGTTTGGGAGCAGTGTAGCTCATTAAATCAGGTTTTTGAGCAAGCATATCCCAGATTGTGAGCTAGGACACGCTACTCTGCTGTGAGAAGTACATCAATTAAAGGTTCCGGAAGAGACTGCCCAGAGTCTCTCTGCATGAGTGCCTGCTCTTTCCTTGCTCCTGCTGGAAGATACTTTTGCTGTCTCTTTCTCTCTCCAGCAAATTCGATGGGATTATCTAGTCACTTCCAATGGAGAGATGAAGCAGAAGTGTTTGCTCGCAGAGGAGATGGATTGGAAGGAGGTGAACCCAGTACAGTCAACTCCGAAGAGAGACAGCATACAACCTCCTCTAGAGGTACTTACTGATGTTACATGTCTCTGTACGAGTTGCCATTCTAGGCTGATTTTTTGCAATCGCAAGGCATGCCTAGAATAGTCCCATGCACAAATGAGGGAATGGGCTCTTTTGAGTAAAACCGTTCTCTTCATGGGGAGGGCAGTCTTGAGTGAAACATGCCTCTGGTTTTAACTCCCCCCCAAACATGGGCCTTGGCTCTCAGAAAATGCTGATTTAAGCGGAATATAGATTTAACATCCACTGTAAACACAAGAAGGCCCAAACTAATCAGCTGTTCAGTGGAGCCTGCTGTCAAAACTAAACAGTAGAGAAAGGCAAATATTTAACAAACAAGCAAACAAAAAACAGAACTATCCTAATGGACAAACACATTTTACAGGGAAACTGCCAGCAATCTGGTCTCTCCCTCTCCTGTGCACGTACCCATACTGCACATGCATGAATGCCCTTTCCCCCCCCATCACCTCTCCCCAGTGCTCCGTACCATTGTAACCATCCTGATCGAGGTCTCCCAACGGTGCAATGGCACTGCCGAAACGACCAAACTCTTGGGGACCGGAAAGAACAGCTGACGCGGTGGGCTCCATGCCATCCGGCCGCTGCAGGTAGATGTAGACCCTGCCCACCTCCTGCACACGCCCATCTTCCGTTTTCTCCATAAACAAGGGGGCGCCGATCAGCAAGTCATCTAGGCTGCAAAGAGGGAAGGAGAGGCGACACCCTAAATAGCCAGTTAGAGTCAAAAGCTACACGGGCCATGCCCTGAACTGGATAGCCCAGCCAAGCCGCATGCACAAACACACAAATGCAAACCCACCCACCCACCCCCAGCTACCCAAGGCATTACTGGAATGCGAAAATCCCTACGAGGGGGAGAGCACTGGTACACAGCCGATCAGGCACATATATACCCCAACTTTGCTGGTAGCATTTCCACAGGGTCTGCATTTCCCCTCTTTCTGCAGTTCAGCCCCACTGGGCCTCTCTGCTCCCCTCCCCACTTCACACCCGTTCCATACTTGCCAAAGTCTCCCTTTCCAAATCAAGTGAATTCCCAGCCTTTCCCCCTTGCCAAAGAGGACGACCCCTGCTTCCCACTAACCACTGCCCAGATTGCCCCATCTCCACACTCACCCGTCACTGTTAATATCCGTGGCAGCCACGGCGTACCCGAAATAGGAGGCCATCTGTTGGAGGAAGTGACAGGCAGGGGTGAGGTCAGGAATGTCAGCGTGGACTAGGCATCCTAGGAACAGGAAAGACACTGCGCCCAGGGTAGTACGCTTCAGTTCCCCAAGGCCATTCACTCGTTCCCCTCAAAGACACTTTGTTATGCTATCTACAAAGCTCCTTATAGTAAAGTGTGTTTTAAAATATTTATTTAGCATATTTCTATTCTACCTCCCCAGAGTCCTGCTTGAGGTGAATTTCAATTAAAATAATATATCATCTGTATAAAAATAAATAAATCTTATTCAGCCACCTCTCTGGCTTTTGAGATCTCAGTAGGCGTGCTGAACACATTAAAGCACATCCTCCCAGTCACAAGGGCTAGAAACTCACCCACCCCTCTCTTTTTTAAAAAAGTAAGCGGAGATCCTGAGGAAACCAAGCTCTCTGCTCAGGAGGATCACAATTTAGTATAACCCTGCACAAGGAGTACTGAAATAGACACAGTCTTTTCTAAAGGTCCCATTTGGAGTGAAGCCAGTCTTGAGGCAAAGGGAAGGAAGCATGCGCCAAGAAGGCATGTGGTCCCTCACTCCTCACTCCCTCAGAGCTGTGCCCTCACTCCTCACTCCCTCAGAATTGGCTTTGAGCCAATCAGGAGCTTTTAGCCCTAAATCAGCTATGGCACAGCTGTCAACTACCATATCAGCACAGAAAAACAAAGGCAATGATTCTGGATTGAGGGATCTGGGGCTGAGCTCAGTCCAGCTTTTACATCAAATCCCCTTTCCCAGCTTCAGGGAGGACTTTTCAGCTATTCACCTGTTCTCCTGAAAAGTTGTACAGCGACCGAATGTCACTTCCATTTAGAATTGTGACCTGGAAAAATGGAAAAGAAAAAAAGAAAGATTGATAGGCAGTGTTCCTGTCACAGATTCACTAGACACCATCAGCTTCATGCAGACACACTGAATAGACAACCCAAATACTCTTGATGGGAATGGAAACAACACCTTGGCATTCTTGCTTCCGTGCCCTGTGGTCTCTCCTGTAATAACACCTTGATTCTTTTCTATAAAGGAGGATTAAGCGCAGCAGCTTTGCTACAATTCTTTTATCCCTCAATCATTAGAGTGTTTTCATGCCCCGCTCCACAAGGCTATCTTTCTGGTGTGTGGGGGGGATGCCCTTGGAGTGAAAGCTACCTGCTTTAACCCAGGATTCCTCTCATATTTTCAACTCTGTGAGACTACGACAGGGAGTAATAGTTGATGTAAGTTTTATGTTTGATATTTTATATGCCACTGTCCATTTAAAACTGAACCATGTGGCATTCCAGGTAACGGAGATGTCAGAGACGACAGTTGGCAGACTTCAGCGCTGAAGTGATTTGGGTTGTCAAAGTGTTCTAGTTCATGTTTGGGGTGTTCTTAAGAAATAAAAAACACAGTGTTTTCTACACATCCTGCCCTTTTCCTTGACTGGAGTGTAACACTGCGGTGCCAAAGCAAGAACTATCACACAAAAGACTACTTGAGCAAGTCCACCCCTTTGCAGAAAGCGAGGTTGTGGTTGCCGTATTGTGAAAAAAGAAAATGAGAAGAGGCTGCTCGCCCACTCATACTTTTGTCAGGAGGGGTTGGTTGTGGTTCCTCTCAGGTCGTTCTGAGGGCTACCAAACAGGTCATGGGGAGGTCACTAGGAGAAAGAGCTCCAAGCAGGAAGGAAGGAAGGAAGGCCACCGTCTCTCTCTCTCTCATACACACTCTCTGTGTCATGTGTGAGACAAACAGAAGCACAGCCCCAAATAACTTCCTCGACATCATTGGTTTGTTCTTGGCCACAGCCAAACGGCCATAAGGAAATCAGATTTGTTCAGTTTGGGGTTTATTTCCTTTCTGTCAGAAATGCAACAGTCACTACAGCAACTGTGGGGTTAACAATAAGTGTGCGGCTTGGCAATGAAAAATTAGAGGTGGGTTGGAAAGTGACAACACTGTAGCATGTAGGTATGAGGAACTGGGCTATGTGCAGCAGAAGCAGTGGCAGTAACGGTGGCAGCAGTGACGGCGGCGGCGATGGCGGAATGACCCTGGCGACCCTGGCGTATGCGGCGGAGGCTGGACGGAGGCGGTGCCGTGGTGTGCAGGAGCATGGCGGCGCGGCAGAGCCAGCGGGACAGAGCCGAGGCTGCGGCTGACGCTTTCCCGAGCACTGGAGGAAGCCGACCGGAAGAAGCTGCTGAGCGAGATCAATCCCGGGCGCCAGGAGGCGAAGCACCGGAAAAATGAGTCCGCCAGGAACAACTACTGACCCAGGAACTGGATAACATCTAAGATCGCTGCTGGGGTGCTGGTAGGCTATCACCTCCCCATACAATAATGTGGCCCTAGTTAGGTATAAAGTTGTCTGTAAACCGCTCAGAGACCCTTCGGGGTCAGAGCGGTATATAAGCTGAAAATAATAAATAAATAAATAAATAAATAAATAAATAAATAAATAAATAAATAATAGTTTGAGAAAGTGGATGACAGGCCACCCTTTAGACCTGTGACAGGAACAGCCACAGGAGTGCTTTGCAAGGGATTCAAGACGGAAAGGGCACATGTTTCAAGATAAACTATTATGTACTATTACCACACACAGGTCAGTGGTTTTTTCTAAGCAGGGCACTCTCTGCTATGTGCACCGGAAGGAAAAAATCCGAGAGGGGGTTTATTTCCAGCAATGCACAGATTTTACACTGTGGCACCCACAGCACCTTCAAGGAGACTTTCCAATCATGTGATAGTTTGTTGTTACATTTAAATGTTTTTGGAAGACAGATATCTTTGCATTCTGTATTACCAATGGGTTTGGATTTGTCAGTTGATCACGTATTATTATACCGTCCTTATTATAATAATATATGTTCTGAATGTATTATGACAATTTTTACAAATTCCCCAGAAGAGCAGACTGATTCAATACTTCCCTCCTCTTTTCGAATGCCTCTAATAAATTACTTGTAAGGTAACAAAAAAATTTATCATGGCTTAGGGTGCAATACAAAAGTAGACAGTTAAGTCTTCAAATAATTGACCCCCTCTATTGTGAAATGCATGTGAAAATTATGAAATGTTGAATTATAATGGCACATATAAGTCTTTTTTGTTAGCCTTGGTATTGTTTTTGTTAATACTTTTCAAGCTGATCTTATATCAAAATAAACTGAACAAACTGTACTGTGTTCAAGGCCTGTGGCCCAACACTGCAATGGACAGGAGAGAGACCAACGCCCTACCAAAGCTAGGAAGGAAGATGAAAGAGGTAGCTATAGAGCACGCACAAAACTATGGGGATAAGGGGGAAAGAAATAGGGGATAGTCCTTACATAGCCATATGTGAGGTTTCCTTTTGGAACGCCGGCCACAAAATCTGCAAGAAAGCAAAGAAAACAAGCCCGTCAACAACAGCAGAAGGGATGGATAGAGCCAGAAAGGCACCACAAATCGCACGATATAGTGCATAAAACAGAATCTGGGAAACCCAAAGCAAGTTTCTAGTCCCGTGGTAGAAGAAGAAAAATATGCCCATAAAACATGACAGCAAATGAGAAAATTGTTTATGGGTAAGTGTGCGGGAATTCTGTAAAGTCTGCCTGATATGATCTTATATCACAAATCCCCATCTCTATCCCAGTGCTCACACAAGTGTTCTAACCCCACATCTTATTTTTTCTAGCATTTCTTCTCCCCAGCCTCTAGTCAAAGAGGGGATATGGTAGGGGTTAGCATTGGTTTTGAGCTTGAGGGCACTGCGGGAGTTCTGACACAGAGTGGTGGGCGCAGACACAAAATGACCACCACAATATAGCTGCAGCAAGAGGCTTACCTTCCGACACACAGTGAAGATCCTTATGCTGTGGTAGAAGCTGGTGCCGAAGCAACATTAAAAAAAAACAACCCCTGCATAGCCAATGAAACCTCCAATGGCAAATCAGAAGCCTTACTGGGCAAAGGCCCCCTGGCACCACTCTCTTTCTAAAAATACTTGATGAGCACCAGGAAAGGTGTCGACAGAGGCGCTGGTGCCACGGGCACCATGCTGGGGTCCACTGGTATATGGTTTACCATTCATCTAAAACCACGTGATTACAAAAACTCATGCAAAATTTGCTGATTTGACGTGCCATTCTTTTTAAAGAATGCAATGAAGATGTGAGCTTTCTGATGAAGGGGCTACCTAACTCTGACTCTCTGGTCTCTGAAAGCTGTGCATGCACTAGCCCCACTAAATGCGCATGCCTTCACTCAGATCAAAGGTACCTTCAGTGGAGTCGTTGCTGAATTCACCCACAGCCACAGAGTAGCCTAAGCACAAAACAGAAGATAACAACATCATTCCGGAGAAGATTTTCAACACTGTTTTTCCTCCCACATCTATATTCCCACCCTTCCTTCAAGAAGACAACACACATGGATGGGCTTTACCCCTATCTTTTCCTTACAACAACCCTGCGAGGCTGTGGCTTAGGCTGCGAGGGCATGACGGAATGTGATCAAGTTTCACAGCCTCATCCAAAACCCAGGTCTTCCCAATCCAAATCTGGCACTCCTCTTGTGATGCCACATTGGGTCACTGGCAAATACGCCTACTAGGAGCCCCAGAGAGAGTTAGGCTCATTTCCCAGCATGCACTGCAATATCGCAGGTTGTCACAGGCACCGTGATGCCAAACGGCTCACTGGAACGTCCCTGAGAAGCGAAATCCTTAAGATTTTCTCCGCTTTTACATGAAATCGTCACTGTGCTGTGGGAAGCAGAATACAACCCTTGGGAAAAATAGCATGCCTACATCCCAGAAATAGTGTCAAGATCCAGGGGTGGAGGATGACCACTGGGACTCATAAACAAATATATGTATACTGAGATTGGAAATCGACTGATATCTGCCTGATCCGCCTACAGAAAAACAAATAAATGGGAACACAGTGTGAAGTACATCCTAAATACAAAAAAACCAAACTCTGTGATATATAGGCTACAGTAGCCTATATATCACGGTGACTGTTTTTTGTATTCAGGATGATTCGCCTACAGGGCAGGGCCCAGCGGCAGGAAGGGGGGGGGCTGACAGGTGGGTGATAGAGCTGACCATGAATGGGGGTGCATGCTGCAAACGGTAACAGAAGGACACTTCTGTGAGCTACGATGCTACCCCTGGGTACAGGATGGCTACTCTGAGATGTGCCTAAGAAAAAGGAATCTCATGTTTTAGTAACTGTTTAGTAACTGTTGTCAGTGACTATCGTGAGTGGCCAGGGGTTTACAATCTGCGAACTCCCATGAGAGATATATCCACCCATGAGAGATATCAGCTCTGCTACTCTTTTCACAAGAGCTTCCAGCAGGGTGTAACCAGGGAGAAATCAACAGCACCAGATCTTGCCGCTCACTTCAATTTCACACTCACCCCTCCAAACAGTCCAGAGCTAATTTGTGTGTGTGCTTGCGAGCCTAGAAGCCGTGGTGGCTTCTGGTGACCCCTAGTGGGGCTCTGCGTCCCGGCATTCCCTGGAGGTTCCTCTTCCAAGGACTTGCCAGGGTCAGCCCTGCTTAGCTCCCAAGATCTGATGAGTCTGGGTTTGCCTGGTATACACAGGTCAGGGGCGGAGCTAATTTTTAAGAGGGCCCATGTTTTTAACCAAGCAAGGACCTTAAGGCTCCACTCATGGCTCACTCCCTTATTAACCAAGACCCATGCCAAGGGCCGTTTAACCCCCTTTCTGCCAATTCAGTGGCCCATAACCCTTTTCCTTCTGTCTTGGCTCACATACAAGGGCAAACAGCTGATCCAAGGGAGACCCTTTCAAAGCCCAAGTGGCATTTGGACTAGTGGAAAGGGGATCAAGGACCTTTGCCTGCATCATAGCTTGACAAAAAGTCAAACTGCATAGTTAAGTGTGTTGGGATAGGGCTATCTTTGGGTCCACCCTCAGCTGTTGAACATATCAACGCGTTAAGCTGCCTCGTACTAAACCAGACCAACAGTTCATCATGGTTAGTATTGTCTACTCAGATTGGCAGTGGCTTTCCAGGTGCCTCCGCTAGACAAATTTCACATCACCAGGGATTGAACCGGGGACCTCTTGAGTGTCACTGAGCCATGGTCCCTCCCTCTTGGGTTTCCAGTCGCTTACCCTTGGTGTAGACTGATCTGAGGACGGAAGTAAGGTCAGGTATCCCAGAAAAATGAATGGCGTGACACAAGCCCAAAACTTGGATCCAGGATGCCTACCCACAGGGAACGGAAGAATATGAGGCCCCCCGGTGCGAAGGTGCCCACTTGGAGACAGCAGTATCCCTTCTTCCAAACACTCACCGAGGTAACTGTCATCAGCGCTGATGTGAGGGTCGGAGCGTGTAGCAAGCTGACCTTGGACCTCCAAGACGAAATATCCGGGGTCATAGGATTTCTCAATGGCGTCCTGTGTTGCTGATAGCACTTGGCCTGGGGGGAAAAAGAAAAAAGAAACAGGGTCATCAGTGGCTATTAGCCACAAGGTATAGATAGGGGCTCTGGGGCAAGTGATGCTCTGTCTACTTGGTGCTTGGGGGGGTCAACAGTGGGAGGGCTTCTAATGTCCTGGCCCCACTGGTGGACCTCCTGATGGCAGCTGGTATTTCTGGCCACTGTGTGACACAGAGTGTTGGACTGGATGCGCCATTGGCCTGATCCAACATTGGCATCTCTTATGTTCTTATGTCATGGTGCTCGGTTGAATCTGCAGGGAAGGAGATGACAAGGGAGAAGAAGAGAAGAAGAGACTGGATGCATACCCCATCCTTCACTTGGGAGTCTCAGAGCGGTTTACGGTCTCTAATCACTGCACTACAGGCCTCCTCTGGTGCAATCCCTGTTCTTCCTCTTCTTTCCCTTCCCTTCACTCAGAACTATGGCTTGGATCTTACATCACTGTTCGCCTCGATGTTCTCTCTGACCACTAAGAAGACTTTCCTTCCCCTATGATGCTCGCTTCCACCGGCACAAGCACTTCTGCGTGCATAATGGCTTCTTGAAAACACTGATCTCGCGTGCATGGAAGGCCAAGTGGCAGAGGAAGCAAGCCCCACTATGAGGAAAAGACTCCTTAGCGGTCAAGACGCTCGAGGAGAACCACGTCATGGAAGCCATGGCGAAGGCTCTTTCCAATATCCCTTCCTGTCATCAACTGGTTGACAAGGAAATGGGAGACAGCTAATTTTCCCTGGGTCTCTCCCCCTGTAGGCCTGCTCATCTGATACTCTTCTCTGCTCAAGAGAAGGTTTGGGGGCAGTGCAAGAGATAAGGCACAGAAAGGGACTCACCTTGCCAGAAATAGCTTCCAGGGCCACCGAGGACGAGCCGTCCAGCCTGCAAAGGGAATGGGAAGTGTCAGATCCCACGGAATCTATCCCTCAATCAGGTCTGACCCAGAAAATCAGATCCCAGACTTCATCAGACCCATTTGTAATCACTCCCTGGCATCATACATTGGTTCCCCCACCACCACCTTAGTATCTTCACCATAACCATGAAAAAGGGGCTGTGGCCCAGTGGTAGAATATTTGCTTTGCATGCCGAAGGCCCCAGGTTCGATCCACAGCATCTCTGGTTAAAAGGACAAGGTAAACTTCTGCCTGAGACCTTGGAGAGCCGCTGCCAGTCTCATTTAGACAGCACTGACCTCAATGGACGGAGGATCTGATTCAGTGCAAGGCAGCTTCATGTATTCAAAGTAAGTGATGGTCATGTCCCACAGGGAGCTTTATGGGTGAGCAAGGATTTGAATCCAGGTCCCCCAAGACCTAGTCCAGCATACTTCCCATGATGCCACTCTTGCTGTGCTGTCCAACCGCTGGGACTCCCCCCGTTTCATCTCTGGAGTCACCCCTGCCACACTAGGTCACAATGACCTCAGCAACCTCTCTGTGGCCTAGCCGGCTGCACTTCACAAAGGCCACTGAAGCCATCCCAGCTGTAGCCCGAAGGCCCCAAACTGCATTTGATCCTCCTCAGAGGGCACTCAGCTGAGCTGCACCATCCTCATCCATGTGCCTTGTGGCATCATTGTTAGTCCCGCGTTGAATGAGTAACTGCAAATCGCTCTGAGCCAGCAAGCTCTGCAGGATTGAGCGATTAATAATAAATTGAAGTGAAGATTATCTTTGGTGGCAGTGCTAACTGATCGAGGACAATGAACAGGGAGCAGTGACTGCAGAGAGAGCCCGACCATATAGAGAGAGCTTGAAACTAACGGACCGGATTGCTCCTAGCTCGGGTGCAGACGTGCCCGTACTTGAGAGGAAAGGGATCCCAAAGCAGAGCCCCACAAATTCCCGGCTACTCCCTTCTCCTGTGATGCATAACTGAGAAAGTTCGATTCCACAAACGCATCCCCCGCGTTAGACCATTACAAAGAATCAGAACCTCAGCCCATTTTTCTCCAGGCCAGTTTGGCAAGGGATTCTGGAGGGTTTTTTGTGACCTGGGTATGGAACGGGTCACTGGTGGTGTGGGAGAGGAGGTATTTGTGAATTTCCCGCATTGTGCAGGGGGTTGGACTAGATGACCCTGGAGGTCCCTTCCAACTCTATGATTCTATTGTGACTGAAAGCAGCACTCTAGGGTCTCCAGCCAAGATCCTTTAATTCAATTAGTTTTTCTGCCTTCTGGCTGTTTTAAATTGCAATTTTAATTCATGGCGCTTTCTGTGTTTTATGTCCTGTTTACACTGTAAACTACTTTTAAGTTCTGCATGGTAGACAGGCAGCTAATACGTTTTAAATAAAATAAAGAATAATAATTCGAAATGCCAAGGATTGAACTTGGGACTTCCTGCATGTTCTTTATCGAGACGAGGCATGCCGCCCCAGACCGTCCGGTACCTCCACTGGGTGCTGATAGGGATTGTCCCCCACCCTGTGTTTCTGTGGCAATAGATTAGGCATTGAGAATCAAGTGTAAGCCGCTCAGAGACCCCTTAGCGGGGGTTCAAGCGGGGTAATAAATCGAATAATAAATAAATAAATAAATAAATAAACCCTGGCCCTTCCCCTAGTGGTGGATGGCATATATTATCACCAGTATGCAAAGACAGGTTGGAGCTCTCCCCCAAGTGTGTTTTTTTTAAAATGGGAAAATAATTTAAATGGACAATCCATCTACAAGGTTGTTATTTTTCTTGAATATTTCTTGAACTTCTTATCCCTCTCCCAAAATACTAGAATTCGAGGGCATCCGATGAACGCAGTAAGTTCAGGACGGACAAAAGGAAATACTACTTTACACGGAGAGTGATTAAAATGTGGAATTTGCTGCCAGAGGATGTCGTGATGGCCACAGGAATAAACAGTTTTAAAAGGGGATTAGATAGATCCATGGAGGATAAGTCTATCAGTGGCTACTAGCCATGGGGACTGAGGGGAACCGCCACATTCAGAGGCACTGAGCCTCTGAATCCTAGAGCCAGAAGGCAACATCAGGGGAAGGCCTCGGCCTCTATCCCGTTGTTGGCCCTCCAGAGGAACTGGTTGGCCATTGTGTGGGACAGGATGCTGAACTAGATGGACTACTGGTCTGATCTAGCAGGGCTCTTATGTTCTAGTATGATCCCGACTATCGGGGCCTCACTGCCTGTCCCCCCCCACACACACTTGTATGAATGACTGAACCAAGTACTCCAAGGATTTATACAGGATGTCCCCTTTGTTTAGCAAGCTATTACAGATATTATCACAGTCCCTGCATGGGCCTATTCCAGTTTCAATTTACAGCTGCTGTATGCTGGTGGTCACCGTGCCCATTCTGTTCTTTTATGAGCAGTTCCCACAGGGGGTGGGGTGGGGTGGGGTGGATTCCCATTCCTGTTTCCAAATAAAGGAACTTAGCACCCTTATTAGCCATGCTCTCACCAGGGACTGGTAACTTACCTTTGTGAATTCAGCGCTGAATCCACCCTGGCAGTAACCCTGTCCACGAGCCGAGTTCAGGTCTAGCAGAGAGAAAGTGAGGTGGGACATCAGAAGGGCTGATAAAGGAGCAGTACAGAATATTTCTTGAACACAAGGTAACATTTTTCTTTAAAGTGTTCGTTGCGCAACCACAAAATAATGCACTGGTAACACCAAGCCTGATCTCATCAGTTCTCAGAAACTAAGCAGGGTCGGCCCAGATTACTACTTGGATGGGAGAACACTGAGGAAATCCGGAGTGGCTATGCAGAGGCGGGCCCCCCCCCCCCCCCGTTTCTCTCTTGCCTCAAAAAATCTATGGCTCCAACTGCATGGCCCTTTCTACCAACACCAAACCTGGATTTTTTAGCTTGATCTAAACAAGCTTTGTTTGGAGCTGCGGTGGCTCAAGTGGTTAAGACGCTGAACTGCAGGCTGTGGAAGGTCGGTAGTTCAGCAGTTTGAGACCTGGGTGCCACATGACGGAGTGAGCTCCCGTCTCTAGTTCCCACTCCTGCCAACCTAGCAGTTCGAAAGCAAGAAATTGCAAGTAGACAAATAGGTACCACTTCGGTGGGAAGGTAACAGCGTTCCTTGCGCCTTGGTGTTTAGTCATGCCGGCCACATGACCACGGAAACGTCTCTGGACAGCACTGGCTCTTCGGCTTTGAAACGGAGATGAGCACCGCAACCCTGGAGTCGGATTCGACTGGCTTTCGAGCAAGGGAACCTTTACCTTTACCTTTAAACAAGCTTTTATTTCTCAGGTGTGCTATGGACAGGTTCTTTCCCTTCTTTTACAGTCCATCAGGCTGCCGTAAAGAACAGAAGGGAGTTCTGGCTACAGCTTGCCAGGACTCATCAAGGCTTAACAGCATTACTAGTATAATTAGCAAAGTGCTTAAAAACGAAGTAGGCACCGCACAGAGATAAGTATATGGTGCGGCCGCCAGGCTTACCTACAGACTAGTTTATCTCCAGAGCACAATTTCCTTATTTACATCTTTCCGCCACCTGCCACCCAAGGCAACATACAAGTCCTAACTAAATGCAAACAGCATTTAGTGTGGAAATGCCCTCTTCCAAAAACATGAAAAGCGCCACTCAAGGATGCTGAAGAGCATAGGCAGTGGGCCATTTCCCTTATCGCCCTGTATATCCAGTCTTCCAAAATGCAGAAAACAGACCATGTACACAAGTACCTCTCATTTAAAAAAACAAACAGTGATCAGGCACTAGCACACCATATCATTTTGCCTTGGAAGCACAGAAGCTTTACGTAGTATCCCTGATCCTCCACATTTCCCGGTTAAGGGGAATAAGTTGTTCAAACAAATTACAAAGATGACCTGGTTCCAATGGTAATGAGAGAAAGAAATTTCACTTACAGAGATAGAAGCACATCTTACATAACATAGTCACGTAGGTACATTTAATTTATTGTGAACAGATTAACTTCAAAAATATTAACTCGCTACAGCTCCAAGCCCAAATAAGAGAGAGAAGAAGAAAAGAGGTCCTATATAAGATGAAAGAGCAAGCAAGGACCAAAGAGGCTCAACATCTGACCGAGGAGAGGGCGGGGCCAACTGCCAAGTGTACCCCAGTGAGAGAATTCTCTTAACCCTTTCCCCTCCCAGATCCTCTTGCATGCAGAGTGAAAATATCCGATAGTATGCAAGGGCCCCCGTTGCTCTCATTTAAAAAAGCAGTGATCATGGACTAACACACCAATGCGGAGGGGGGCCCTCCATTATCATTTTGCCTTGGAAGCACAGACTTTTACACATTATTCCCGATCCTCCACATTTCCTGGTTCAGGGGAAAACGCTGCTCAAACAAATTACAAAGATGACCTGACTCCAATGGTAACGAGGGAAAGAAATTTTACTTGCAAAAATAGAAGCACATCTTACATGACATATTCATGTAGGTACATTTAAATTATTGTGAACAGATCATCTTCAAAAAGGCTAACTTACTACTGCAATGTCCAATGAGAGGGTGGGGCCAACTGCACCCAAGTGAGAGAATTCTCTTAACCCTCTCCCTCCCAGATCCTCTTGCATGCAGAGTTAAAATATCCAATAGTATGCAAGGGCCTCAGTTCTTCTCATTTAAAAAACAAATGAACAGTGACCAGGTACTAACACACCAACAGGGAACTCAGTGCTGCCCTGGGGCAACAGGGCATCATAAGAACATAAGAGGACTCCTGCCGGATAAGTCCTGCAGTCCATCTAATCCAGCATCCTGCCCTGGCCTGAATAGCCCAGGCAAGCCCGATCTCGTCAGATCTCGGAAGCTAAGCAGGGTGGACCCTGGCGAGTACTTGAATGGGAGACCTCCTTGAAATACCAGAGCCAGGAGGCGGGGGCAGGCTTTATTCAGCCACCTCTCTGAATATCCTCCAGGCCCCCAGTAAGGGTCAGTCACCAGAGATCACCATGTCTTCCAGGTGCACACACATTCAGTCACCAGAGGTTGCTATGACTTCCAGGTGCACACACACACACTCATATGCACACACACACATGCACACATAAAAAAGCAAAACAACAACAAAAATCCAGCATCTTGTTTTGCACAGTGGCCAACCAGTTGCACTGAAGGACCAACAAAAACAGCACAGAGGCCAAGACCTCCAGGCACTGGTATTCAGAGGTTTACTGTCTCTGGATGCAGAGGCTCCCTTGAGTCACCACAGTTCCCTTGACGAAGGGAGAATTGATTCGCAAAAGCTTATACACTGGAAATCTTATTGCTCTTTAAGGTACTACCTGTACTCAAATCTGGCTCTTCTACTGGAGACCAACACAGCTACCCACCTGAAACTATGGTTCCTTCATGAACCTGTCTAATCCCTGCTTAAAGCCATTTCCCTAGAGATTTTAGCTGCCTCTTTGCAATTTTTCTCGGCTATCTGGCACCAGCGATCCTAAGAAGAGCAGGGAAAGGGTGCTCGACACTCAAAGGGAGATTCAAATGCCAGTGAAACCTGGACTCCCGCCTTTTCCAATGGGCCTTTCTCTAAAAAAGCTCTGGTTCTCTCTTAAGGCTACTGGGGGTGGGTCATCCTATGTACATTCAGAGAAGTGGGTGTGGGAAAAGCTGCTGCTATTTCCTTTGGGGCACCTCTGCAGTGAGGGCTGGAAGCTGGCTCCGCAGGAGCTGTGCAAACCAGGAAGAGCAGTGCTTGCTGAGACTGGATCTCACTGCACAGCAGGAATGCAGGGAGGGTAGTCAAGTGGACTGGCCTGCACTGACCCCAGAAGAAATCACAGTGCTGGATCCAAAAGGTAGAAAAGGAGGGCAGCAGAAAACAGAGAAGATGGTTAGCAACTTTAAATCGGGATACCCACAAATCAACATGGGATGAAAGCCCAGGATGAGAAACTGATGAAAGTTGAAAAGTCGACGGATGATATTTTTTGAGATGGGCAAAACCCAAGCATTTTCTCTGATCAAAAAGTGAGTCCTGGACATCGACCGTAGTAGTTTGATTCGGAGAACCCACAGAGTATGCTCACCCCTATTTTTGGGTCCTTCTTACACAAAATCTTTCCCCCCCCCCTTATAGGTACTACCTTACCATCCCATGTTATTGCAGAGCTTTTTCGTTTCCAAGACTGAACATTATACCTACAATGGTTTTGCAAGGGAGATTTTTGTATCGGCCCTTCACTGACAGAATTTGCCCTTGTGGCCTTAACAGGATTGATACATCCTTTCATGCCCTGCTGGAATGCAGATTTTTTGAGATTATGAGGGATTACTATATTAAGCCTTTATCCAACCAATCGTTCGGAAACCCTGACTCTTTTGCTCAGTGATAAGGATCCCAAGATCAATCTAGCAGTTGCAAAATTTGTCTCTGTCCTTTCAGCCCTTGCATCTAAAAAATAAGAGATAAATGTTTTCTGCTCCTACAGATTTGTGAATCAGTGAGCTTCTAAGGGTACAGAAGGAAGCACTATCTATTTCAGGGCTCTTAGCTGTGGTTGCAGTCACTTCCTCCTCAGGACCTTGCAACACTGATCAGCTTCCCAGACAGTCAATTCTGCTGGCACACACGACTGAATGAATCATTTGCATGACTCAGTATTTCCAAACAGTATGGTACAAGAGAACTGCTAGAAGGCCATGAGAAATGTTAATTGGGGGGGGGGGGGAATTAAAGATGCTCATTTGCCTAGGGAAGAGTCTTCTTGCTGCATCTCTGCATAAGTCACTGTTCTGGGCTAGATCAAGATGGGTAGCCATGTTAGTCTGTCTGTAGCAGTAGAAAAGAGCAAGAGTCCAGTACCACTTTAAAGACTAACAAAATATGTGGCAGGGTATGAGTTTTCGTGAGTCACTGCTCATTTCTTCAGATACAGCTAGAATGGGAGTCCATCTGTTCTATTTATTGGAAAGCGGAGTGCTTTCAGATGTCAAATGACATTAGCAGGAGTGATTGGATTTAGGTGCGATACACAGAGGGGTAATAGGCATGGAGAAATCAGCATTGGTAATGAGACAGGAAACCTAGGTCTCGATTCAGTCCAGGTGGATGCATTGTCTTCAGCTTCATTATCAATTGCAGTTCAGCAGTCTGTGGGGTTCCCATGAGTCAGCTATTTGACTTGACAGCAAAAACAACAACAACAACAACAGGCTCCTGTGCTAGAAGTACCTCCGTGTATTCTACACCTTCTTCCACTAGCATAAGGTATAGAGCCAACAACGCTATTTTGTTCTTGCTACTTGTCTGTGTAGCTACAGTTAGTCTGCCATACCTGCAGGGAGGAGAAAGAGGAGGAGGAGGAGGAGGAGGAGGAGAAGAAGAAGAGTTGGATTTATACCCCACCCTTCACTCGGAGTCTCAGAGTGGCTTACAAGCTCCTTCCCTTCCCCTCCCCACAACAGACACCCTGTGAGGTAGGTGGGGCTGAGGGAGCCCTGAGAGAACAGCTCTGAGAGAACTGTGACTGACTCGAGGTCACACCAGCAGCTGGCTGCATGTGGAGGAGTGCGGAATCAAACCCGGTTCTCCAGAATAGTCTGCTGAGCCAGCCGAGTAGAGCTACTGGAGAGCCCGTTCCCCCCCAGTGCCACCAGCCCCGCCAACACTGCCTCTCCTGTTCAAGTGGGTGGGGAAGGGAGCAGAAGCCACTGGCCCACACTGCACGAGTCAGGCAGGTGGTGGGTAGGCTGGCAAGTGGCAGGCCTGGAGGGCAAGCGGGGTGGGGGAGGCAAGGATGGGATTTCCCTGCTCCCACATTACCTGGCACTAGCTTGTGCAATGAGCCTTGCATTAACGGAACCCCTCTCCATTGACGCGCTACCACCATCTTCTTAAAAGCGCTCCACTGGCATTCGGTTGGAGCTAAAAGGTAAAGGTTTCCCTTGCTTGAAAGCTACTCGAATCCAACTCTAGGGGGCGGTGCTCATCTCCATTTCCAAGCCAGAGAGCCAGCGCTGTCCAAAGACTTCTCTGTGGTCGTGTGGCCAGCACGACTAAATGCCCAGGTGAACAGAACACTGTTACCTTCCCACCCAAGCGGTACTTATTTATCTACTTGCCGAACTGCTAGGCTGGCAGGAGCTGGGGCCAGAGACGGGAGCTCACTCCGTCACGTGGCACTAGGGTCTCGAACTGCCGAGCTACCGACCTCCTGGACTGCAGCTCAGCATCTTAACCTTAACCTACACCTCCATCAATATACATCACAGTCAAGTAGAAAAGTCCCTCTGCTTCACTGCTGCGGATCAAAAAACTGGCATTACTGGGCCACGTAAGAGTATGAGACAGGGTTCTGTAAACCCGGGGAAAGCTCCGGGCGTGCAGAAAACACACATAATTCAGTGGGAAGGAAGACCCCCCCTCCCCCAAACGAGTTCCTTCATACCGGAGATCTCACAGGAACACCTTGTGAGATCTTGGATGCCAAAACGAAGATGATTTACTTCACCAACCCCCAAAAGGCATGATGGGGTGGGAAGGAAGGGGCAGAACCGGCAGTGTGAGGTTGGAAGGGGATGGGAGGAGAGTGAAGCAACAAAAAGCCAATGGTGGAGGGGCAGGAGAGAATGGGCGGGCAGAAAGATCGGGCAAGTAGGCAGGTGGGAGCGGATGGAGAAAAGAGAGAGCAGGTGCAGGGAAAGTGGAGACAGATTGGTGGGCTTGAGCCAGTGTGGTGCAGTGATCAGAGTGACAGTCTAGGATCTGGGAGAGCCAGGTCCCAATCCCCACTCTTGGGCCATTCACACACACTCATCCTAACACACCTCACAGGATAGTTGCACGAGGATAAAATGGAGGTGACTGATGTAAGCCACTCTGGGACCCCCCAAAGCTGGGGTATAAATGAACAAAAAATGAATTGGGAGTTGAGGGGAGGGGGTAAAGTGGAGCTGGAGCAAAAGGTGGAGGGGGGCTGAGGCTGCCAGACAGGACAGGGTTGCTGTTCCTCTGTAAGCCTTCGTGGGCCCCATGCTCACCTTCACCATCAACAATGCAGACTACAATCCCCACTTCACCCCAAAGCACTGCTGGATGGAAATGCAAAGCATATGAAGGGGAAGGAACACTTTTTCCCCATGAAGAAAGGTTAAAGCGCTTGGGGCTCTTTAGCTTGGAGAAACGATGGCCGAGGGGTGACATGATCGAGGTTTATGATTATGCATGGGACAGAGCAGGTAGAGAAAGAGGTACTTTTCTCCCTTTCTCACAATACAAGAACTTGTGGGCACTCAATGAAACTGCTGAGCGGTCGGGTTAGAGCAGATTAAAGGAAGTACTTCTTCACCCAAAGAGTAATTAACACATAGAATTCACTGCCACAGGAGGAGGCGGCAGCTACAAGCATGGAGTTGGATAAACATATGGAGCAGAGAGAGTCAGCTATCAGAAAAAGCAGAGATGGAAAGACAATGGGTCTACAGCTGGTGGTCCATCAGCTTCTGCTGTGGCCTAGCTAATGGCCAGCAGATCTCCGTGACATCCTAATTAATTAAGTAAGTAATTAATTAAGGCTTATATCCTGCCCTATCCCACAAGTGGGTTCAGGGCAGCTCACAACATATAAAATATACAATAACATAGGAATGAACATATAATTAAAACCAGTGCTTTTTTGTAGAAAAAGCCCAGCAGGATCTCATTAGCATAGAAGGCCACACCCAGCAGCAGGAACATATTAGCATATTAGGCCACACCCCTGATAACGCAGCTCATTAGCATATTAGGTCACACACCCCTGCCTTCCCCAGGGGGGCATTTAAATGCCTCCCCGATCCTTTCAGGGGGGGCCCGCCCCCCACCTCGGGGTCGCTCTCCAGGCCTTCCCTGTGTAGCCAGGCACGCAGAGGTTTTGGCTGTAGTGGGCATGGCCAACTCTGAAGCCAGCCGGAACTCCGTTCCTGTGCGTTCCTGCCCCAAAATAGCCCTGATTAAAACCAAATTTAAACAAATAGATCAAGATGGCCACTAAGATAAAAACAACAACTCCAGAGCAGTCCATAGTGTCTCCTGCAAGATGTTAGTCAAGTACTAAATTTCTGTGGAATGCTGCGCTTCATGCCAGCCCACAGTGCCAATGTCACGCAGCCACACTGACTTTGCTTCCAAAACGTTTCTGCAGCAATCAAAAGCGATAGCGTAAATATGCTGCGCAAGCTCTGAGCGCAGCTCGAGGTCAAAGTCATCCGCCAGCTCCCATACTTGCACTCTCTAAGTTCCACCCCTCCATTACCTGAGCGGCAAGGTGCATATTCCACAAACTTGGTAAAGTTGTTGACCGAGAGGTAGCAGGTGCCCACAACCTCGCGCTCCGGCTCTTCCTTGCTTGTCCGCCAGCTGTACAGGGGGGCACAAGCCTAGGGAAAGAAGGTCAGCCCCGGTAAGCAAAGACAGCCTTATCTTGTGTGACGCAGCAGAAGTCACCTCTGTCACATCAGCTTCCAGAGTCTAAAACTGCAAATTCATCATCCTGGCTTCTGTGCATTCCCATGCTGGGACTGTGCATGTACATGCTGGCCAGTAGGTAAGTGCAACCCTGTTTTCATCTTCAGTCTTCTGTGCAGACCTACATTGGGACTGAGCACGTGCAGGCCTACCAGCCAGCCTGCACATACATAGTTCCAGTGTGTGCTTGCACAGAAGACACTTGATAAAACACGGTTACAGGTAAGTGCAACCTTGTTTTCCATAAAAGCAGCCGCTACCCTATATCTGCTAGGGTCATTCCATTAAAATACAATTCAATACAATTTTAATGCTAAGGAGGTCTAATGCTAAGCTGCTTGTTTGGCTTGTGAAGTTTTCTGTTATTTATTATGCTATTGGATATATAGAGATTGCATTGCAAAAGACAGAGACTTTGTTAGCATTAAAATTGTATTGAACTATATTTTAATAATACATAGATAATTCTTAGAGTTATTGAATAATTGATCTTGGCATTCTCTTCATTTGTCAGTTACACACGCTGAGCGTCCCGATTTTGCTGTATAGGATTATTCCATGGCCAGTCACATCTCCCAACTCCCCCTCCTATAAGCAGCCAGCTAAGCCCGTAATAACTCTACAGTAGTGGTGCTGAGCTGTAGACCGGAAGGTCTGTAGTTTGGCAGTTCGAGACCCGAGTGCCACGTGACGGAGTGAGCTCCCATCTCTGGCCCCAGCTTCTGCCAACCTAGCAATTCGAAAGCAAGAAATTGCAAGTAGATAAATAGGTACCGCTTTGGTGGGAAGGTAATAGTGTTCCGTGCACCTTGGCGTTTAGTCATGCCGGCCACATGACCACGGAAACGTCTTCGGACAGCGCTGGCTCTTCGGCTTGGAAATGGAGATGAGCACCGCCCCCTAGAGTCGGATTCGACTGGCTTTCGGACAAGGGAAACCTTTACCTTTACTTTACCTTGGTGGTGCTCAAATGGGGCACCAGAACACATTAGGTATGTTTCAAGAGTGGCTGAAAAACCGCCTTGAAATATTAACCTGCCATATTGAATGCAGTCACCACTCTGTGTCCCTCGGATGGGGTTATATTCTGTGCAACAGTCATCTCCCCTCTCTGTGCATTATTCCAACGGAGGACGGTGAACCAGGACTCCCTGAGGCAACCTCCATTCTAGTTGGCAAGCACAAGAGAATCCCAGCAGTATTGTCCTTTACCAGAAAGCACAGTCGCATTGTTGACTCTCAGCTGACTGGTCAAAAGGAAGAGCTGGTGCAAAAGAATTAATATGAACTAAGCCATGTCACACTTGCGATGGGGATGTCAATTCATTATTCTGGGCAGGGCTTTTTTTGTAGAAAAAGCCCAGCAGGAACTCATTAGCATAATAGGCCACACCCAACAGCAGGAACTCATTAGCATATTAGGCCACACCCCTGACAGCACAGCTCATTAGCATATTAGGCCACACACCCCATGTTACCATTAGTGTGGTCATCCAGCCACACCCACCTTTTGCTTCTTATTCTCTTTACCTTGTTTGTTGTCAAAACCCAGGGCCTTTTTTTGTAGCAGGAACTCCTTTGCTTGTTAGGCCACACACCCCTAATGTAGCCAATCCTAATGAGTTCCTGCTGTTGGGTGTGGCCTATTATGCTAATGAGTTCCTACTGGGTGTGGCCAACTCGGGAGCCAGCCGGAACTCCGTGCCTGTGCGTTCCTGCCCAAAAATAGCCCTGATTGGGACATGATCAGGAAACAACAACGTACGTTTGAAGGTCTTCCCTCTATTTTTTACCCAAAGAAAAATCCTGTTATCACTCCTCTGCTCCACTTACTGTGGGAATTTAGAAAATGGGGGAAATTAACGGCAGTTTGCAGCTCAGCAATGCTGGGGGTGGGGGTGGGGGTGGGGGAGAGAACATTCCCAGTGCTAGAAACAGTCCTTATAGTCATCTGCCGGCTGGCTCGTGGTAGAATTATTTATTGGGCACAGAATTTGGCAGGCCGAAACAACTCTCAGTTCTTGTGTATGTAAAAAAGACTCAAGTTTCTGGTCTTCATGGCTAAAAGTGAAAGTGAGCATGGCTTGAAAGTGAGCAGTGCCCAATGAGATCTCGGAAGACCAAGAGGTAGGAAGGGAAGGGCAACAATATTTCCAGCAGACAAAAACATCAGGGCTTTAATGCCCTGCGCAGTTCTTTCCCCCTCCTCTTGGATACTATAGCAGAATGAAGTATCCAAGTGAGCAATCTGCGTGTAGATTTATATAGGCCCCAATATTTTGATTTTCCCTGGTTTTTGTTAGCATGTAGCACACTTTGTACAGCTAAAGTGCTTTATAACAACTTTGCTCTCTCCACATTCTGCTGGTCTGAATGCCTCCACGGGAACAGAACGGACCCAGCCTTGTTAAGCTGTTGCTGCAATAAGGGGAGCTTAAAACTGTTGTGTGTGTGTGTGTGTTTAGTAGAGGTGAGGAGTCATCCCTCCACTGCACAGTTTGGAGAAGGCCTTGAGCCTGTGACAAAGGCCTTAAGCCTGAAATTGCTAGGAGAAGCTAGGACCAGAGGGAGGCAAAACACAACAATATAGTGATAACCCATCTAAAAATACTCGGCTAGCCCTAAGGAAGCTACAGAGCAATTGTTCTGTGCTGCCACAAACAACTGGACAAGAGGCCGTTGCTTTCAAAGGCAGGAAGGCAGGCTTGAGGTTAGATATGAGAAGGGAAAAAACAAACACTCAAAGAGCAAAGGGGACAAGTGGCCTGTACTGTCTGGTACGCTCAGTTTGGGACTCAGATATCAGGTTGGTAGGAAGGGAGGACAGATCAGACCAGTTTCTTTTACTGGGCCTTGTTTGGAGGGGGGGGAATCAAGGAGTGCTGGCCACAGGAGTTCAAAGGCTTCGGCAATAAGTAGACCAAGCCTTCTGACTCCCCCTGGTTGCAGGAACATAGCAATGCCACTCCCTATGGGAGGGGCTTAAGCCTACAGAGGACTAAACGCTGTCAGAGTTACCGCCTGAGATATTTTTAAGCAGACAGCCTTGCCATCTGTTCCCCCCTTAAGGCAAAAGACCAAGCGCAGTGGCCGCGGGACTGGACAGGGGGCTTGCACTTTTGATTCATACAGGCTCCTTGCTTGTATTTTTGGCTAAGCATTAGGAAGAATTTCCTGAAAATTAGAACATTTCCTCAGTGGAACAGGCTTCCTCAGGAGGTGGTGGGCTCTCCTTCCTTGGAGGTTTTCGAACAGAGGCTAGATGGCCATCTGACAGCAATGCTGATTCTGTGAATTTAGGCAGACCATGAGAAGAGTTGCCTCAGTGCTTAGTTCTCCTGGCCCTTTCTGACACGCCCAGGGAAATGCTGATTGCCACTTTGGGGTCAGGAAGCAATTGTTCTCCAGGCCAATTTGGAGGGGCTTTTCCCACCTTCTGAACATGGAGCAGGGGTCACTGGGTATGTTTGTGTGTGGGGTTTCTGAATTTCCTACATTGTGCAGGGGGTTGGACTAGATGACCCTGGAGGTCCCTTCCAACTCTATGATTCTATGATTCAGTGCCTGCATTTGGCAACCCTAAAATGAAAATGTTGAGAGTAATGCCTGGCCAGTTTGGTCATTGGGAAA